TCTCTCTCTCTCTCTCTCTCTCTCTCTCTCTCTCTCTCTCCACCTATCCATCATTTGCTTATAGACTGGATGAATAACAAGGTTCAATTACTTAATTATATTTATGAAACAATTCAATGAAATACTGTTATTTCTGTAATTTCGAATGAATTTTGAAAGCCGCAGCTTTCTCAAAATCACAGCATTTTCTTGTCATAACTGATCGGATGTAAGCAAAGGTGAAAGGAGAGCGAACTATTGTTTGGGCCGTCGTGCTTGATTGGCCGGTGACTGCTGGTACATTGTAAGTAAACTGTCAAGCAGATTTGAATTTGAGAAAAAGGAGAGAAACACAAAAAGTGAGTCGAACACCTTCAGACCTTTCAGATGATAAGCAGTCCGTCTTAGCTGGCTGCCTTTTTTAAATCGACGCACCTGCTCCCCTGCTGCAGAATGGGGATATAGTTGTGCACGGTGACTTTTTCTTCTCCTGGGGGTTTGGTGGGAGAGTCCAGGGCCTCCCTTTGTGCACGAGACTGGAGGCTTGGGTTTGGTCTGGATGAGTGAACAGTGAGACTTGGTAGCGGAAAGACAGACAACCTTTCACTGAGAGGGAGGGAGAGGAGGGAAGAGAAAGGCGAGCAGGCAGGAGGAAGGAGGGAAGGAGGGGGGAACAAACAGAGGAGTGATTTAGAGCTTGATAATAGCAAGTTTGGAGTAGATTCATCGATACGTTATGGGTGTTGTCAGGTTTTGGTGTGTAGTATGGGAGCTGCGTGGGCAGAAAGAACAGTGTGTTTTCTCAGGATCAGGCTTTAGAAGACAGTCTGTACGACCACATGCACACTGATGCTGTGACCCAGCATATATTAAAGTACAAAGCCACAAAAAGTATTAAAATACGATACATAAATAATCTTGAAATAAATTTTAAATTTAAATATATAAATAAATAAATATATGTATCTAAAATGAATAAGGGGCTAATAAAATACTAATACAGTAATCTATAAAAATTGATCTTATATGTTTATTTATTTATTTAAATATGTATGTATTTTTTAATAAACTAATAAATAAAAATTCTTGTTTTAGTATTTTATTGGCCCTTATTACTTTTAGATACAGCTAGGTATTATTATTATTAACCAATTTAAATACACCAAATCACTTGTTGCTAAATAAATTATATATAGTTTTATAATTTATATACAAAATACAAGTGTCTCTTTATATGTATGTCAGGTTTCAACACAAATGTTAAATTAAAATATATATAAATATGCATGTATAAATATGTAATTTCTTTATTTTTAATTTTGTGTTGAAACCCTGACATGCATAAGTACACAGACACAGTACTTGTTGTAGGTGATATTATTTGGGTACTTTACAAGAAGTATGAAAGGTAACTCATCCAATTTACAGCTTAAATTATACATTTCAGAAAATATTGTTTAACTACATGGTTCTGAGTCTACATTGTGCTACACTGTAACTCTGAACTCTTAACTTTCTTCCCCACACACGCTCTGTTGTAGGAGTGCTTGTGTGTGTTTGTTTTAGAGAGCAAACAGGAGCGACAGAGGAAGAGTTGAGCAGTGCGATATCTAAACCTCCCGGCAGTTTTTCGTAGTTTGCTTTCACCTCCAGCTGCACCTGTGTCTGCAGTGATTATGTCATCCTGTCTCTCTTCCTTCTACACCCGCTTCAGCAGATCATGCTGTGCCACAAACATGACAACACTTTGTGATACTGTACTTCCAGTCAAACATACGCCCACTGTTCTCTGTTGATTTTTCCTTTCCTATCCATTGTTTCCTTTTGCACTTCATATGCGAGTGTCTGCAAGTTGGGGTGTGTTTATGTATGTGTGTGTTTCTGTGTGAGTTATGTCTCTGCCCAACTTGATGTATGATGGTGCTGCTGGACTAAACAAACAGAGGTGGATCGATGCTGTAAACACTGCAGAGTGCAGCGGTAAATAAACGCAGCCGGACAGCACGCAGCGCAGAGAGGTGTCGGGGAGGGATGCGGGGGGTGGATGGATGAGCGAAAGAGGAGTGGGTGTGTAACTGATGGTGGGCTGCTGGATGTCCAAAGGACAAGCGGGGCAAAGGGGAGAGATTGAGGAGATGCCACAGATGTGACACACAAGGACACGAGACATTGAGAGGACAGATGGATGAATGTTTTGGACAGAAAAGGAGGACAAGGGAAATGGACATGATGTCTGCGGTTGAGCTGAGTGTCAATGGGAGGAGGAAACAGGAAATTGAGATGAGGGTGCAGGATCAAGACAAGTGGGGCTTTAGTAATTGAGAAACAGACAGATGGCAGAGATGGGAACAACAAACTGAAAGTGCAGTTAGTGTAAGTGAATAAGAGGAGAGCTAATCAAAAGTCTAGACATAATGAATAAACAAGTTTGTGTGACACATTAGGGGTTCTTCAGCTTTCTCCTACAGAAAGCCTACTAAAGCTTGTAATGTATTTACTGTATTATTATTTTATTAATTTGGTAGCATTTATGTGTAAAACAATTGCAGTCTAGACATATTTTTTATAATTATTTAAATAACAGTTATATTCTTTGACTTAGAAAACGGCATTTCAATTAAACGCTTACATTTTAGATTTAAAAGTAAAAAATTCTACTTTGGAATGCATCAAACCGATAACTTCCTTTTTGAACTAGAATAAAATCTCTAATTTGATGCTTTGAGCTGTTTCTTGTTACTCTTATTAACATGTACCATGGAAACCATAGAATCTGCCAACATTTATTAGTATCTGCCATTGCTACTGTTATTACAGTAAACAGTGGTAACATGCCAGTAAAAAGATTGTGAAATTAATTACACAGTTTGAAGCTGATTCCATATTTTTAATAATTGCAGTCACTATGGTATTGTGCCAGAAACTGTGGTTACCATGGTAAAAGATTAAACACTCCCAATGCACATAACCTCAGCTGTTGACGGCATCTATCAGTACAGCAGTTACTGCGAAGAGATATTTCGATATTGTGGAGTAATATATCATTATATATTATCATACCTCATCAGAAGAAACAAGCCAAAAGACCCTTCCAATAGCAATCTGTTATTTCTGTAAGTAGGTCACACTGTAATACAAAGGCCAAGTTCTGTCAAAGCCAAGATCACTGAAATTGATATACCAACACCACTATTAAATGGAACATTTTTGCTATTGAGGGTAAACTGGGTAATTTATAGTGCTTTGACATGTTTGAAAACCTTTTTTTTAGCTTTTAGAAGACCTAAATTCTAAATTATCCATTTTTGTTTACTATAATTCCAGAATATGGTCAGATTACAATCTTTTAATTTAAATAAACTAAAACATTTTTTTAAATGTCTTGTTAATAAGGGTTTTCACCTTTTTTGAACTAATGATTTAAAAAAAGAATTAGAATTAATTTAAATGACAAAAATGGAAATCTTGACCATTTATTTAGATGAATCAGTTGTCTCAATATAACAATCTAACTGCACGAAAGTGCAGACTAAACAAAGTACATTTGCTCTTGTCCATTTCAGTTACTATAAGGAAGTAATTGCATTTTTAAAATATATTTTAAAATATACACCATTATTTTAATCAAAAATACAGTTAAAACAGTAACGTGAAATATTATTACAATTTAAAATAACTTTTTCCCTTTAACTTTTTTCCTGTGATGGCATTATAAATGTCTTTACTGTCACTTTTGATCAATTTAATGAATAATTGCTAAATGAAAGTATTAATTTCTTTTTTTTAAATCTTACAGACCCAAACCTTTGAACGATATCATGAACAAATGTATGTTTTAGAAACATGGATAGATAAAAGGGAGGGATACAGACAGGAAGTTGAAGTTATGAAACACATTCACATATTTTTCTGATATTTTTGTATGACTTCTGTCTTTCTTTGGCTTTATGTCTCTTTCACAGATGTTATTCACACCGTGGGGCCAATAGTCCACGATTCAGTGGGGGAGAGAGAGGAACAAGCACTGAGAAACTGTTATTATACCTGTCTGCACACAGCAACTAAGAACCACCTGCGGACCGTGGTGAGGGTCTCAACACACACACACACACACACACACACTCATAATAGATTCAGACTTGATGTCTTGGCTGCGATATACAGTAGCTACTTGTATGCAATTTTAACGGCCCACCACAATCTTGAAACTTACACACTGGTTGCACATAAACTCAGGTACATACAGTTAACATGTTAAACTCTCACCTCTATCACTCACATCTCACAGCTGCGTCACGGTATGAAAATCAAAAAGCCAGCAATCCAGTCATAACACAGCACATAACTCGCACTCCACTAGTGCCCTAACAATTTTTATATGAATCTTCTAAAACAGTTGAGAGCCGTTTCAGCTTTATTTCTTTCAGAGATTGATTTATTGAAGACAGGTTACTGCATGTATAAAAGATTTTAACACGGTGCACCAGCAAGGATAAAAATACACACAGGCACAGCTATTGTTAAGGTTCTTAGGAAGGAGCAAGTGAGGGCTGCAGCATCATAACGTCTTATGGGGACTTCCTGTTTATCTTTATGTAACTGGTGTTCACTGCGAAAAAAGAACTTTAGCCAAGTGTTGTGTTATTAGGAATAGTTCACCTTAAAAAACTAAACTAAACAGATAGCTCATAATTTACACACCCTCATGTCATTTCCTGTGATATTTTTGTTTTATTTATATACTTTTATTGTGTTTATTAGTATTTTAAGTTTTAATCATTTTGTTATGTGCTTTTGTCATTTTGATTCATCTTTATATTGCTATGTATATTTGATTACATTTTATTACAGTTATAGTTTTATTAATTTTAGTGCTTCAACTTATTTCAGTTGGTTTGCCAAGCCAACATTTCTGATTTTCGTTTAATTTTTCTAATACTTGTATTTTATTTCATCTTCATTTCAATGACCAAAGTTTAATTAACAAAAACAAAACTGGTCATTTCAACCCAGTATAATTTTTCCATGAAACACAAAAGTTGTTGTTGTGGTAAATGTTCTGGCTGCTTTTCCATATATTATAAGGGCATGGAGGCAGGTGAAAATTGAGCGCAAATGTGAACTTAAAAGTATCATTACAAGTTCTTTGATAGCTTTTGAACAGAATAAAGCAAATGCAACAGTCTTATTTTGTTATTTTTATGCTCAACATCCTCCATCCCCATTCACTTTCATCGTATAGAAAAGTGGCAGCCAGGCCTTTCAGCAATGTAGCTCCTTTTGTGTTCCACAGAAGAAAGGTTTGGAAGAACATGGAGGAGAGTAAATGACAGAAATTTAATTCCCTTATTTGATTTCAAAGTGCTATCCATACGTGCAAGACACAAAGTGGTAGCTTCGCAGCAAATGCTTTTAAAACACCAACAATTGTCTGTGACTCGGCCCATTTGTTTTAAAGTAAAGCTTTTGTTTTAAAGGCCCTTAATTCTGGGGCACAAGTGACTCGTTGTCATTAGTAATGGATTGTATCTTTAATGGGTTGTAATTAATCAACTTTCAATCACCTTCCCTTGTAAAAGCTGTTGTTTTGAATAGGTGCAACAATAAGTGCTTTGTAAACCTTAATTTATTTTATTATAATACAAAACATTTATTTAAAGAAGCTTTTAGTGGTTCATACATAGACAATAAACAATTTTTTCACACTTTTAATTACATAACACTGAAATCTGTATTTCTTTTTATGTCTTTTATGTTGATGTCTAGGCTATTCCCTGCATCTCTACTGGAGTGTACGGTAGGTGCAAATTACAACGTTTTTTTTTTCTCAATCGATGTTTACTTTTCATCTTTAATTGCTTTGTCTTACATCAATTATTTATATTTATATGTCCTTTGTATTCATAGTCTGTAAATGACTGTGTGTAACTGATAACAGGTTGGTTGATTTAGAGTTTTCAACGGGCTTATTTATTATTAAAACCTATGATCATTCATTAACCGCATTTATGAGTTTACATCAATGGTACTTCATTCCCTGTGTTTATGACATTCTATCTCAGTGTTTCCCAACCGGGGTGCCGCGGCACCCTGGGGTGCCGTCTGTCGCGAGCAGGGGTGCCGTGTAAAAAATCCTTTTTTAATATTTTTAAATTGCTAAAATGTTCAAAAAAGCATCTATTATATAATATCCATTTCTGATGTCGCCAATAATTAGAGATGCGCCGAAATTCCGGCTGCCGAAAATTAGTTCACAGCTCAGGATTCACTTTCAGATGGTGTGACGCTCTGCGTATTATCCCGCTCTATGCGTGTGCGCTCCGCTCAGTCGCTCCACTCGTATACCGTTCATCCTCATCGGAACAGCAAAGTCCACTCAAAAACTGAGCCGACAGGAAACATCGATGTAGTACAGGATTGTTTCTGACTGCAATAGCCCTACTGTGCTGTAACATGGTGTGGTATATGGCAACTCTGGTAACGCTGCCCTCTCATTCATTTGATCTGCTAACCGCTATGTTATGCTCACGTGTTCTGATAATAATAGCTTTCTAGGACTAAACATTATTTGGATAATTGGTAAAAAAAAAAAAA